AGTGCTGTTGATTATATGCTAATTAGCTTAATGAGTTTAAATGATAATGAGCTCAAAACTATATGGTAGAGAGAGGAAGATCTGGGCTACAAAATGAGGTATTTTTGTACGATTCAGTTGCGTATTACGACCAGCACAACAATGAGGACAGGAAATGCAACTTTTACGTCAATTGATATAAGACGAATGATGAAAGTAAAAGAAGTTATCGAAAAGAAACGAGGTTTTGATTTGCGCCAATATGGAAGAAATCTACGTTAGATTTTTTATTGATTTCTGGTAATCTCGATGTCTATGTATGCGGTTCCTTAAACACTATCTATATAGAAAACTGTAATATGTCAATCAATAGTTTAATTAGAGGTTTTGCGATACTATACAAAGCCTTTAACAGACAGTTTTCTTGTGTATATAAGGTGATATTGTCAATATTAAAGAATGGATATGTAGTATCGGAATTAGTGAACCTCGTCGGATAACAGATAGAAAAACGGGTGGAGTTGTGAACAAAACGCTAACGGAAATTAACATAAAGGATGAGGATGGCGACGAAGTTGTTGTAACGTTTTGGGATAACAGTTTAAAGATTTAAATTAGGAACAACACATGTTTTTATTAATTTATCCACAAATACCTATAATGATATGACCAAGTAGTTCACAGTGGTACAACAGTAACCGTAACAGAAGCTAGCGAAATGATTGATCAGCAAACAACGGTTGCAACAAGCAAATCGATTGAAACAAGCAGTTTGGTCTCATTTGTCGGAAGAATTGTTGCTATTGGTGACATTACAACAATGGTTGGATGTGCTAATTGCGAGAAATGGACAGATGACAATGGCAAGAAAATTTTGGAATGTCAACACTGTTTTAAACATTTTAATGGAATGTTGCAAACACAAAGTCGAAGCATTATGGTGACAACGAAAGGTAGTTTTAATGGCTCTATCCTAAATTTAACAGAGAAGTCAAAATTTGATTCATCTGAAGCTTATTATGGTGGAAAAAATGCAGGTATGGGTCCAGTTGGAAAGAAAAACAACTTTTCACTGTTTTTGATTATAAAAAAGAAAAATAAGAAAGATGATGA